TTTAATTTTGATCATTGGTAATGAGAAGGCAGTTCAGAAGGAGGTGACACCTTTATACTACTGCACAATGTATTAAACTCTAGTGGGGAAGAAACCTGAGTTGTTATCACCAACTCTCTCAGGCCTGTTCCAGGAGAAAAGTAAGATATAAACCTCATAAAAATGCAGGACGGCATTTCCCCCTAGGTGCTGTATGTGCATGTGTGCTCTCATCTCCTTGCCTCTTCCTGCTTTATTCTGCAGGGGTAGACAACTGTGGTCTTCTATCTGTTTTTGGACTATACAGCTCCTACTGTCCTTCACTACTGGCTCTGATGCCTAGGTTGATGGGAACTGTAACCCAAACATATCTGGAGGGCCATATGTTCCCCACTCCTTTTAGTAATCTGGAGGGCCATACATTCCCCACTCCTTTTAGTAATGAGTTTTGGGACTCACAAAACCTCTAGATCCAGCTTAATCTTCCTCTGTTATTCTGTTGGGCTGCTTGCGTTTCTCTTCAAAGGCTTTGCATGTTTCTGTGTTCAGACATTTGTACTGAAACCCCTTTTTTCCTTTCAAAATACTCAGAGAGTGGGACGGTGACTTTATGTAAACACAAGGGCTGGCAGGTCAATATTTTACAAATTTGACCTGAAAAGCACAGTGGATCTCCTCTAAACTTGGTCTGGGAGAGAAGATTTGCCCCATAGTCGGTATGTGTGCTACTACATTAGGTTTGCTTCTAAAATTATCTGCCTCAGCATTCATTCTAAGGAGAAGTCAATAAGAGCTCTAGTGGAATTGCAAATCTTTGTCTTTTTTTTTTTTTTTTCATCTTACAGGCTTTTGGACAACTTTTTTTAGTGCCCCTCCTCATGAGGTAAGTATTTGTTTAAGTGTTTGAATTGCACAGGCAGTGTAAAGTATTTATTACAATATTGCTGGAAGGACAGTCTATTTATTTGGAGGTTTTCCTTAGGCCACATGCAAAGGTAGCATGGCTGGACTTAAAGCAAGTTTTCCTTTTTCTCTGGATTCTTCTCTTGCCAGCAGTTTGATTTGTACTGTAGATGATATAATCCATATTATTTAAAATGTTACATTCTAAGAAAAAAGTGTTCATCTCACACAAACTATTGTTCAGGACACACAACTACAAGTATCAATAACCTACAAAATATTTTTTCAAAATATACAACAAATGAGAAGTATGTTTTGGCCAGATTAAAGAGAGCACAACATTGAAAGGATGCGAGCTAGAGAAGCTAACAAGACAAATAGAGACTGAGAAGTAGTTGTATAGGGAAAGGGAAAGAGTTCTATAGGTTTTTTTGCAAGTTATCTGCTTATTCATTTCTTATTAACAGCAAAATAATATCCTCTCTGCTGCTGGATTTTTCGAAGGATGAATTGTTGCAATTATAAATTAAATGTGGATGCCTGTGTCCACTGGAGTTTTTGTGTCTGTACAGTGTGCCCTCCATATCCACAGATTTTTTCATCCATGGATTCAAACATTCACAGATTGAAAATATTCCAAAAAATATAAATTCCAAAAAAGTAAACCTTGATTTTGCCATTTTATATAAGGGACACCATTTTACTCTGTCACTGTATTTAATGGGACTTGAGCATCCACCATTTTTGGTATCCATGGGGGGTCCTGGAACCAAACCGCAGTGGATACCAAAGGCCTCCTTGCATATTAGATGTTTTGCATATTAGATGTTTTATAGATGTGCTATAACCATGGTAGCAAACCTATGGCATACGTGCCAGGGATGGCATGTGAAGCCATTTTATCTGGCAGGTGGAGGGTGGGGAAGAGGAGGAACAGGCATGGAGAGCCAGCTGGAGGCACGGAGGAAGAGGAGGAACAAGCACTTGACTGATCCTCTTCTTCCCCCTCGTTCCCTAGGCCTTCAGCTGTCTCTGGGTGGTAGCGGGGAAGAAGTCCCACTCCGGAAGTCAGTCCCCTCCCTCGAAGGTGGATGTCCTGCCCCCGCAGGACACCTTTTAGTTTGGGCACTTGGCCCCTAAAAGGTTCACCATCACTGTGCTATAACATTATTTGTATAACAAAAAACTTAAAAAGTGAACAGGGGAAGAAAAGCTACAATAATATATAGTACAGAAACAATTCTAAACAAATTACAACTTAATTTGTAACAAGGAAAACACTTTATCCAAGTTGCCCATGATCTGTGTGTTGTGATTAAAAAAGCTGCATCCAGTTTTACACTACTTTAACTGCCATGGCTTAATCCCATGGCATTCTTGGAATTGTAGTTTGTTGTGGCACCAGAGTTTGCTGACAGAGAAAGCTAAATGTTTCCCAAAATTACAGTTCCGAGAATTCCATAGCATTGGGCTGTGTCAGTTAAAGTGGTATCATCCTGGATTGTACTTTAGTGGGGCACCAGAGCTCTCCGACAGGGAAGGCTAAATATATCATCAAACTACAAATCCCGGAATTGCATAGCACTTAGCCATGGCAGTTAAAGTAGTATTAGACTGCTATATTTCTGCAGTGCAGACAATACTAGAGATAACAGGTGCAATTCTGACTGTGTACTGAGTGTTCCTCTGGAAGTGAGTCCTTCTCTGTTCATGCTTATGCAGTGGAATGCACATTTTTTTGCAGGATCAACAACTTTACTATCCTGCGCTATCTTGATATTGGAGAAGACCCTACTTTCATGCCAGTGGTTGCTGCGGAAGAAAAATGTGACCATTCAAAGTCCAGCAATGTCTCAGATATTCTCCATAAACTGATTGATAAGAGGCAAGTTGTTACAGATGTGAAGAAGGGTGATATGGGGGTGAAATCTGTATACAGCTGATGTAGAAAGTTTTAGAAAGTGGCAGCTGTATATGAAGAATAAATTACCAGGAGAATTTTCAGGATTTACTCGTTCCTGTTCTGTTTCCTGGCACAATTCAAAGTAAAGATTTAACCTTTACATCTTTAAATAACTTGGGCCCACTTCAATTGAAAGGACTCCTTCCACTTTTATACCTACTTGAAACCTAAGATTAGGTTCTGGGAAAATAAAGTGAGGTGTGGCCCAGGAAAAGGGCCTTTTTGGTAGTGGCAAAAGTGCAAGTGCAAGGGATTCCTGAAACTAATCAATGTTTATATCAGGCATATTCCAGCAGACTTGTCAAAAACTGCTGTTTTCTCCAGGAGTTCAGTGAATAAGTATTTTGTGTTGTGAACAGTACAAACTTTATTCTAGAAGAACCTTGGGTATTAAAAGGGGGACATCTGCTGACAGAACTGACATCATCCCCCAACACTGGCATAAATTTAGCAACTTTTTGCGGGCTTCATCTGAATTTGTTTACTAATTAAAATATGCCAACTCTTTCTTCCATGCCCCCTCCCCCCCAGTGCTAGCCTATTCTCATATCTACTATCTGATTCCCACCAACGGACTTTGAGAAGTTTCCTCTTCCACATATCTGCACATTCCTGTTTCAGGTCGCAAACATTCTTTTGAGCCACCACCAAATACTATCTATGCCTCTCATCACTCTCAGCATTTCCCAATAAACCTATAACATCTATAAATAACTCTATGTACCTCACATATTAAATATGCTTTATATTGCAACAACCACAGCAACAGTGATATGGTAGGCTATACTATGTTCCGACAAGACTGTTTTCTAAGTTCTTTTTCTGACATGTGAATATGCCATTTCACAGCAATATGCATTTGACTGCTGTAAAGTACTAACAACCTGCCATTAACTCGAAATCAAAGAGCAATTAACTCTAGGCAGATATTAAGGTGGAGATGGTGAGAAAAAGGATGCTGTGCACCTTACACTACTGAATCAGTGTCTTCTCATTTCTGGATTACTTTCTATCTTTCTATCATCTTTCTGCACTTTCTTCTCACTTCTGGATTACTGCATGATTTTCTCAGTCTTTTCCTTAATTTCCCTTTTTTTCTTTTTTGGGGACACAGCTCACATTCTACCAGCCCTACTTTCCATTTCAAAGGGATCCAAGATTATTTAAATTGCTATCGGTAAGTAAATGTAAAGATTATTACCATATATTGAGTGAGAAATTCCAGAGGTGTAAGCTGTGTTCAGGAAAGAAGTGACACTAGAGATCACATTACAAACATAATGGAGTGCATCAGAGAATTCCGGAAGAAAATCAGCATGTGCTTTATAAACTATAGCAATGCCTTTGACTGCATAGATCATGAAGAGCTAGGGATTGCTTTTAAAGAATTGAGTGTGCCCCTACGTATGATTGTCCTGAGATGTAACCTATAATCAGGACAAGAAAAAGCAAAGCAAAGCAGCTTCATTTATATACCACTTCATATCGCACTATGGGATGTCTAAGCGGTTTACAACTGTAAGCTCATTGCCCCCCAACAGTTGGGTACTCATTTTAGCAACCTCAGAAGGATGCAGGCCTGAGTCTAGCCTGAGCCCCGGCTAGTATTGAACTTGCAACCTTGTGGTCTACAAGTCAGTGGCTGCAGTACCGCCACCAGAAGCTACTGTTAGAACAAAATATGGAGAAGCAGAATGGTTTCTAATTGGAAAGGGGATCAGGCAAGGCTGCACTCTATTACCCTATTTGCTTAATTGTAACTTGAAAAAATATTACATGCAGAGCAGGTTTAGACTCGGAGGAAAGTGAAGTGAAGTGGAGGAGGGAATATCAACAATCTAAGATATGCTGATGACTCTATTACTGACAGAAAATAACAAAGACTTGGAACAATTACTAAGGAAAGTCAAAAGAAAATGCTAAGGAAAGCTTACTTTTGAACATTATGAAAACAAAAATAATGACTACAGAGCAGTTATATAAATTTAATGAGGAAATTGAAATAGTTAAAGATTTCCTATACTTTGACTATTGATCAGAAAGGAGATTGTAGTCAAGAAATCAGAAGATAGGACTGGGAAGGGCAGATATGAAAGAACTAGATAAGATATTGAATTGCCATGATAATACAACTGAACACTAAAAGTAAGTGAGAGCCAGTATGGCATAGTGGTTTGGGTGTTGGACTACAGCTCTGGAGACCAGGGTTTGAATTCCTGCTGAGCCATGAAACCCACTTGGGCAAGTCACACTCTCTCAGCCCCAGGGGAAGGCAATGGCAAACTCCCTCTCAAGAAATTTGCCAAGAAGACTCTATGATAGGTTTGCTTTAGGGTCACCATAAGTCAGAAGCCACTTGAAGGCACCAACAACATTGTATTTCTCATCACTATATATGGATGTGAGAGCTGGACAGTGCAGAAAGATGATAGAAAGAAAATAAACTCATTTGAGATGTGGTGCTAGAGGAGAGTTCTGCAGATACCGTGGACTACGAAAAAGACAAAGAATTGAGTTCTAGTACAAAATCAAGCCTGAATTCTTCCTAGAAACCATGATTAAATTAAGGCTGTTGTATTTTGGCCCCATCATGAGAAGGCATGACTCCTTAGAAAAGACGATAATGCTAGGAAAGGTAGAAGGCAATAGGTAGTGAGGAAGACTGCATACCAGATAGATAAGAGTTAATCAAGGAGGATGTGATCCTGACTCTACAGGACCTGAGCAGAACTGTTGAGGTGCCTCAGAGGTTGCCATGAGTTAAGGTTGACCTGAAGGAAGTTAACTACAACAACAACAACCTTTTGAGAGCTGTCAGTTCAGCTGTCAGAATGTCTACAGATACAAAATCAGAGATAAAACCACAACAATCGATTAAGCCAACTAATTTGAATCAACTAATTCTGTAGGAATTAAGACTGATGAGATTACAGATGGAACAGATGAAATCTGATTTAAAGAAAAATTAGAAAATGATATTTTAAAACTGCTTGAAGGTGGAACATAAGGAAGATGTGAAGTAGATAATGTAATCCAGGGGTAGGCAACCTTTCCCCTTTAAAGGCCGAGGGACTTCAGCTCCCAGAATCCCAGGAGCTATTGGCCAACGTGGGACTATTGGCCAACATGGCTGAGGCTTCTGGGAGCTGAAGTCCCTTGGCCCTTAAAGGGGAAAGGTTGCCTATCCCTGATCTAATCCCTGATCCAGTTGACTTCAGAATTTGTTGGGATAGAAGGAACCAATATTGGATGGAAATGTAAGGGGCTGGAGAGGTTTATATAAAGCAGCTGTACCCATAAAGGAGAACTGGAGATTGGTCTGACAAGGGGAAGCAGTTAGAACAGATTTTGAGAAAACTTGTTGGGACAGAAGGAATTAACATTGAATGGAAGATTTGAGAAACCCATGGAAAGTAATGCATTGTATCATGGAGAAGTGATGCTCAACTGAAGAACTCCGAAAGGAAAGTATACTTGTCCCTCCATATTTGCGGCTTTGACTTTTGAAGATTTGAGTATTCATGGATTTTATTAATATGTTCTCTTGAGGAATATCTAGGCCCTCCAGCACAACTGTGGTCAACTTTAACCAAAAGTTGCACTGAAGGACCTAGAGATTCCTAGAGAGAACACTCCACTGGGCATTTGTAGTTCTTCCAGCGCCATTCTGTGGTCAATGTCTAGCAGATGTTGACCATAGAGTTGCACTGGAGGACCTAGAGATTCCCAGAGAGGTGTTCTCTCAGGTAAAAACATTGTGTTTTTGTTATTTGCGGTTTTTCTACATTTATGGGGGTCTTGTACCCCTAGCCCCAGTGAATGTGGACAGCTGAGTGTAGTTTGATGGAGGGGAATAGTCTAACCAGGGAGAATACAGAGGAAAAGATCCATTGCTTAAAACTGAGATAGTAAGTCTATTTCAAGATTTCAGGTTGTAGTAAAGTTATATTCACCTAATGCAAAAGCTGAAATACGGACAGAAACCTTATGTGAAATTTTAACTGTTAGAAGATTGGTTGGATTTTATATGGCTTGGGAATTATCTGAAAAATAATCTTATGTGAAATTTAAATAACTGTAACTGTTAGAATGTTGGTTGGAGCCTATATGGTTCTGAAATAATAAGTACAGTTTTTGATATTGTTGAGTTTTGAAGTAAGATTTGTAAACAAAGAATTTTGGGGATGATGATGAAAGTGGAATAGTGTGATAGTATGATTTTAGTAAGACAGAGAAGTTAACTAACTTTTTAGATTTTAGTGGAATTAGCCAGGAAATTATTGGGCAAGGGGACTAGCAGTTTTAGGATTTTGAAGAAAAGTAGACTTGAGTAACATGTAGAAGTGAATTTTATAAATATTTTTAGAGGAAGTAGAATAATGTGATAATTACACCCATTAGCTTGTAAGTTGGAAGTCACTTATTTCCCCTTAGTTTTTTTTAAAAAAAAATATGTTAGTTTGTTTAATTTGTTAGTTTGTATAATAGATGTAGTTTTGATGAATGCTTTTTTGGGGAGTTTTAACTTATATGTTGTTTTCTATATTAAAATGTATGTGCTAATAAAAAATAGTTTTTAAATAGTCCATGACATCACAGAGACCATATTCCAGGGGTAGGCAACCTTTTTGAGCCGGGGGCCAGGTTGCTGTCCCTCAGACAATTGGGGGGCCGAAGCACCAAAAATAAATAAATAAATAAATCAAAATTAATTTTTTTTCATTTAAAAATTTAAAAAATATGCATGCACACTCTCTCAGCCCCAGAAAAGCCATGGCAAAACCCCTGATTAATTACAATTAAGTTAAAATTGTACTCTGGCATAGTTTCATTTTCATTATGTGTAAATAGTTACTGTCAAGGTCTGACTGCTATAATAGTCTTTTAGCATTTCTAGTTGAGAGAAGTATTACCCCACTATAAATTATGGACACCAAGTCCAAATTTTATAGCTCAGTAAGTGCCATTTTTATAAAAAAATAAATAAATAGAATTTTGAAATTTATAATGGTAGAATTGGGGAGCGTTCAGTTTTAAAAAAAAAGTGTGCCACTGTACCCCTTTAATTCCACTTCATTAAAAAATCAGATGTCAAAGATTAGGCTAAAAGTCTTTCAGAAACAGAAATACAAGCCACAGTCACTTAGAGGCTGTCTGTGGCAACCTGATCTTGGGAATTTGAATGAAGACTGCTACCTAGCACTCTCACCATGACTGTTACTTGTTTTGCTAGTTCTGGAGAAGTGACACCCCTTCAAGTTGCCAAGAACATTCTTGCTGTATTGGAAGATGATGAGAGATTGAGTCCTCACCTGCGAGCAATTTCTCAGTGGGACCAGGAGGAGATAATCAAGGTTTATTGGAATTCCATCAGCATTAGTAATTTTTGTTTATTGAGTGGTGGGATCTCTCCCCCCCCCCCCCCCCCCGCCCGCCCCATGTCTTGTGTGTGTTTCCACAGGCCAGGGGAAATCAAACCTTTGGTGCTGAGGTCTTCCAATCCAGATTTCACATTGGAATGCGGGGAATGTTTAGACCAGCCTATCTGTTCCCTATTTCTACCCCTTCCTCAGCAGTTGCATTTATTGCTGATAATCCTGTGACTGATCTGGTTAAGTCTCACCCTGCTTAGATGGCTGAGTCCTCCACTGCTCGCTATAGAGGCAAGGAGCCTCTCTCTCTCTTGGATGGAATCCCAGTGTGCCTGAAAGAGGAGATCAAAGTGGTATGTGTACTCAGCTGCTTTGCCTTTCCTGAACAAGATTGACCTTAAAAAGAGAATTGGGATGATGCCTGGGTTGTTGGTTTTGTGTATGGATTAACTTGAGAGACAATGCTTTGGACTACCATAGGGGAAATATGGGGATTACTGGGTTGTGTTAATCCAAAAACCGTACATAACACCCGTGTGTATGTTGCCTTATAAGGCTCCCTATTATCACCGAAGTGGAACAGCTTACCTGGGTACAAAGCCTGAAACTGAAGATGCCACTGTGACCAGGAAACTACGAGAAGCTGGTGCCATTATTATTGGTGTCTCAAACATGCATGAATTGGGTATTGGGACTACAGGCTGTAATCCCAACAGGTAGAACTGTTTGCATTAAATAAAAAGTAGTTTTCATTTCAAAATCTGTTCCAAAGATTCCCAGATTCCTTAACTGGAGGGCTGGTGATGGGGAACAAAAAAAATAAGAAAAGCCTAAATCCTGTTGGTTACTCTTAACTAAAGTGGCATCAATTGCTGAATGGCGAATCAGTACATAGATAAATTCCATTGATTAAGTGGCTCTACTCTAGTTGGACAAGTAATAGAGTCTAGGCCAATGTATACTGCAGGGGTAGGCAACCTTTCCCCTTTAAGGGCCGAGGGACTTCAGCTCCCAGAAGCCTCAGCCATTTTGGCCAATAGTCCCATGTTTGCTTTTTTAGAGACCAGCAAACATAATGAGACAACACAGCATGACTGAGTTTTCCCCCACTTAACCCATCTTTTGTAATATTTTGTCTGATGAAGTAATCTGAAGATGATGAAAATTTGCACACATTTATAGTGCCCTTTGGTTATCCTATTGCACTGATAAGAATATTGGTATAAAGGTCTGTTTCTGCTCCACTAGACTTTTTTCAAGTAAAAAGCTATAAATGTACATGGCTTTCCCCTTTGTATTTAGCTATGGTGGGGGACAAACTTCCTTGAACATAGCAGGTTTTCCATTTCATCTGATGAGGAAGATTTTGTTCTGTGCTACCTTAGATTTCAGTTGTGAAATCAATGAGAATGGAGCAGCATTTGCTATATCTGCACAATTGAGTATTTTATGGCTCAGGGTTGAACTAGATGTTATGTAGCAAATCCAACTTGAGTGCTGCTGATATCTTTTATAAGGTCAGTGCAGTGATGAGCAGATCACTTGAGAGCACCATGATGGTGGAGAGCTGCCCCTCAAATAACTGTGCTTGTCACTTTGAACTTCTTCTGTCAGCCATTTTCTCTTGGTAATGACTACTTCTGGTATCAGAGCTTGATTGGGTGGAACAACTCAAACCAGTAGTGTTGGGGCAAGCAATGTGTGCATGGAGGAATTAAGCTCCCCTCTCTCTTTCCTGCCCATATTGTGATTTCAGTTGTACTTTTCTTTTCCCATAGACCATTCCAAATACAGATTCAGTCACAGACCAAATTTTAACACTGAAATCTGATGTCACATCTGATTTGGCCCTCAG